TAATTTTTTCAAGATAAATATGTACTTATAAAATACTATTTCAATTAATCTTGTTTCTTCTTATCGATGATGTGATATGGTTCCAAAAAATAAATTTAATAGTTTCAATAAAATTTCCTTCTTAAAAAAATTCAATGAATTGAAAATTTTCTATATCACAATAAAATATTTCATTAAAAAATATTATTAAAATCAAAATATGAAAAAAGAATCATATTTACATTATGAAATATTATAAAAATAAAATAAAGTATATATAAAACATCAATGCAAAAAAGAGTTACTAACAAATTAGAAAACAAATAATTATAAACCAACTATTAATTACAAACAGATAGGTAAATTAGTTAAAAAAATATATATTAAAATATATTTTAAATTCATCCATATATATTATTCTTTATTAATAAATTTATTGTGAAATGTAATGAAATGATTCATTTAGAATACTTAAGAATCAATTTCAATTTAGATATTTTGAAATCTGAAAGATGCATAAATTGGAATTTTTTTTGTTTTACTCAAAGGGCCATGTTATATAAAAGAAAATTATTTGTAGTCAGAAGCAGGTCCCATTTTTTTGTCAACTTCATCTTACAATAAGGTAAGCAACTTCCTGAATGGATAGGTTAACAGGAAGTTGCGGACTTGCAGTGAAATTTCAAACAAAGCGTAAGACATATTCATCTTAATTAATTCAATTTCTATAGTAGGAAAATATTATACTTTGTGTATCTCTAACTAGAAAGGATCCTTTATTTGTCGTCAAAAGGCCAAAAATAACTACTACTAGATATGTTTTATATATAATTAAATATTAAATATAAAAAAATACAAAAAACAGTTGGAAGACATTAAGTTTAAAAATATTAATTCCCGTTAAATTAATTTAATTACTTCCGTGTGGACTAGGGACAGTGCAGCGATATTTCCAAGACCAAACCAAAAGTTTGCACAAATAGATTATGATAATGTCAGAGGCATGACGTTACAGTAGTATTTATTTATTTAATACAAAATATCCATCATCATCAACGTTATTAAAATTATCGTACCCAAGAAAAATACAAAATTATAGTCATAATAATGAACCATGTAGCTAGATAATTTAGGTCAGGGCTAGAAAACTGGTATACAGTGTAGTCAGCAGATTTTGTTTCTATGAGTGTTTGGTTGTACATCGCATTGGAATTCAGATGAATCAATCATTCATGATGAAATTAAAGTAGAGTTAAATATTTTTTATATTCAAAATATAACTATAAAATTTTTAAATATCAAATCAAATACGTATGATCACTTTTCATTTATTTAAACATTATTGATTGAATGAGGTGACATAATAAACATTGCCAGCTTCTATTATTAGTTCTTCTTTCTATTATTGTGCCTTCAAAACCCTAATCTACTGTACATAATAAAAAGGTTGCAGTTATAAATTATTCTCATCCATTTAATTGATATTGCTTAGGAATTAAGTCGGTCCTTATTATATTTAAGATTTCTTATAATAAGGTAACTTACTTACTCTGAAAATGACACTATTATTTGGTCTAATGTAGTACGTAAGAAAACATTATTTATTTTTGACCTATTTGCCTGTTACTTGCCATTTTCTAACACCCCCACTTCTTTTCAGCTATCAACTTCCTTAATTATGTCTTTTGAAAGTACATATAATCATTTTTTTTTTCTATTTCCTTACTTTTGTAGAGAATGTTACTAAAAAATTATCCGAACGTTATTTTTGAACTTCATTACTTTTTAAGGCTTTGTTTGGATGGAGTGATTTAAGAGAGTGAAAATGAGAGAGTGGAAAAGGAGGGATTTGAAGAGAAAAGGAGATGATTGAAAAGTGAAAGGAAAGTTTATGGGAAATTGTAAATGATTTGATTAATATGAGATATAAAAATTATAATTTTATGTTTATTATTTAAGAAAATTACCATTTTACCCTTTGTATCAAATAAGGTTCAAATGATTATAAATATAATTTTTTAATTAATTATCCATATTTTAATATTGATTATATATTTAAAAGAAAAAACAAATTTAAAAGTGTTTGTAATTGGAAACAAATTTAAAAAATTAACTTTTTTTAGATAGTTATTAAAAATTATATAAATAAACAATTACAAAATTATGTACATTGCATATCCATATTCAAATAATGTTGACATATTAAATAAATTATTTGACTAATAATTAAATAATTATTTGACTAATAATTCAAATGATCGATTATTTTGCCAAAATGATCGATCACGGTTCCAAAACCTCGACACTTTAGATAGCGGTTCACCTAAAACCGCTATTACAAGTTATATTTCGCTTGAGCGACCGTAAACTCGCTCGAGCGAAGACACCTGCACATAATTTTCATCCTCGGGTTGTTTTTCGCTGAGCGAAACTGATCTCGCTCGAGTGACTAGCAAAGATCTCAGTGATTTGATGAAGTCAAAGATAAAGTCAAAACGCATTTCAATCGATTAAAACACATTTCAATCGATTAAAATGACGTAGAAAAAATTTCGTGCGTGGTTTTAATCGATTAAAACTTCTTTGTATCAGCTTAAAATAACTTGAAAAGTGTTATAAGAAAGTTTTAAATCGAATCAATCGATTAAACCGCGAATCAATCGATTAAATCACTCTTAGAAAATATTTGTAAAAAGTTTTAACTGATAAAAACTTGGTCGTATCGACTAAAACAATTCCGTTAAAGAACAAGAACGCATTAATGGGTTGAAAGGATTTTTAACAGATTATAACGGCTATTTCAACAGATTAAAACAAACTTTGAACAGTCTTGCTCTCTAATCCCACTCGCTGATTGGATTGAACTGAAAAAGCGGAGCTTAGGTAGGCTACAAGCAACTCTCAAAGTGTGAGCTCATAAGCCGTATTTCGCTCGAGCGACTATATCTCGCTCGAGCGAAATACGATCCTGATCGATCATAAGTTGAAATGATCGATCATAATTGGAGGATATAATAGCGGTTCCTCCGTAATCGCTATCTAAAGTGTATATTAGATAGCGGTTCCAAGTGGAACCGCTATCATATACAACCATATTTTAATTTCTTGAGTCTCGGGTTGTGTTTCGTTTGAGCGACTATATCTCGCTCGAGCGAAATATGATTCTGATCGATTAGATTTTTGAAATGATCGATCATATTTCATAATTTTTTCAAATAATTAATTCTAATCGATTATTTTTCTAAATTATTGATTAGAATTGATTAGTTTTTCAAATAATAGCTTAGAATTGATTAATTTCTAAAATATATATTAAAAAATTATAATTAAAAATATAGATTATTTAAGAATATTAACTATTGTAAAGATAAAGTAGAACATGGGAGGAGATGAGGATGATAATATAATGATAGAAGTTACAAAAATGTAGCATTGAGAAGTTTGAAAAAAAAAATTAAGAAAATAGAGATTTAATTACACTTTTAATAAATTGAAGATAATTACAATATAATTTTCTAATTTGAGAATGAACAATATAATTAAGAAGATCAAGTGTAATGTTATTGATGCTAATTTTAACAATAATACAATAATATTATTTTGGAAAATGCCCATATTCATGTGAATATTTTGATTATTATTATATAAAATAATTAAAAGAATAAGGTAAATAGAAAAGTAAAATGCATGGTTATACCACTTTCCTTTTAATCTATAATTAGTTAGGTATGAATCAAATGTAAAGTTTAATGTTATTGATGCTAATTTTAAGAAGATCACAAAATGTAAATTAAATAACTACAATATAAATTTCTACTTTGAGAATGAACAATATAATTAAACTCAAAATTGAGAATACTCTTATACATTTTTGAACTCTTTTGGATAAATTTTGTTTTCCTAATTTTTGATAAAGTTAATTTTAATATTTAAAAGTATTTAACATTTTGAATTCTGAAAGGTTTTCTCTAATAGCAAATTTAAAAACATAATATTCAAAAAATATTTTAAGATTCAGCCTCGAGTTGCATGTCGCTCGAGCGACTATATCTCGCTCGAGTGAAAACGATACTGATCGATCATAATTTGAAATGATCGATCATAACCTGGAGGATATAATAGCGGTTCCTCAGAATCGCTTATCTAAAGTGTATATTAGATAGCGGTTCAAGTGGAACCGCTATCATATACAACCAAATTTTTAATTTCTTCGAGTCTCTGGTTGTGTTTCGCTTGAGCGACTATATCTCGCTCGAGCGAAATATGATTCTGATCGATTAGATTTAGGTAATGATCGATCATAATTGGAGGATATAATAGCGGTTTCTCATGAATCGCTATCTAAAGTGTATATTAGATAGCGGTTCCAAGTGGAACCGCTATCATATACAACCATATTTTAATTTCTTCGAGTCTCGGGTTGTGTTTCGCTTGAGCGACTATGTCTCGCTCGAGCGAAATATTGGAGGATATAATAGCGGTTCCTCTGTAAGCGCTATCTTAAGTGATATATAATAGCGTTTAAGATTTAACCGCTATTAGAAGTGATATATAATAGCGGTTATGTTTTAACCGCTATTAGAAGTGATATATAATAGCGGTTAAGTTTTAACCGCTATTACAAGTGCTGTTATAATAGCGGTTAAGATTTAACCGCTATCATATATTGCAAGGTAACAGCGACTTTTCATTACTTTCATCTCTTTTCTTCGCACCTCAGCGAAGAAACTCTCTCTCTCATCTTCCCCTTTTCCTCGCCTGCATTTCGTCGCAAATCAGTTTAACCAAACATGGGTGAATCTCGTGTTTTTGTCTTCGTGAACAGTATTTCGTCGCAAATCATTTCAAACAAACAGGGACTAAAATCACTTCTCAACAACCCAATCACCCTCAGGAGTCTACATTCATCATTGTGCTTTCGCTCACGACGGTTATATAACTCACATTTCCCTCCTCGCCCCAACCCCAACTTAAAAAACCACCCAAACTACAAAACACAACACATTTCCCACGCAAACACCATGCCTTCCACTCCCGCCGACCATCCTAAGGCGGCGGAAACAACCGCCGCCTCTGCCACTACGCTCTCCGATGTCCACCCCGACATAATCCAAACCCATATCCTCACGCGCCTCGCCGGCCCCGCCATTGCCTCCGCCGCAACCACGTGCTCCCAGCTCCATACGCTCGCCTCGCACGAGCCCCTATGGAAAAAAACATGCCACGCCACGTGGCCCTCCACTCTCGCGCCACGCGTCCGAGACGTCATCGACACGTTCCCCGAGGGCCATCGCTCTTTCTTCGCGGACTCCTTCCCCTCCCCGTGCGTTTCCAAAATTCTCCCGAGAAACCCACACTCGCGGGAACTGATCTCAGCCGTTGATCTCTTCCACGGCGAACGGCTGATATTGTCTAAAGTGGTGGAGACGGAAACTGCGACCGAGTGGTTCCGGTGCTCGCCTTTCCGAATCGATGTGGTTGACCCGAAGGATGCAGTGCGGGCGGGCGTGACGTATCCGGTGGACGAGGCCACGTGTCGGGAACTGGAGGAGAAGCTGAGGTTGACGTGGGTGGTGATCGACCCGGCGGCGCGGCGCGCGGTGGATGTGTCGAGTGGGACGGCGGTGGCTGTGGAGAAGCACTGGCTGAGCGGGGAGGTGGTGGTGCGGTTCTCGACGGCAGCAGGGGAGGAGGCACTGTGCGGGGTGGCGGTGACGTGGGGGACAGAAATGCAAGTGAGGGAAGTGAGTCTGCAGATGGAAGACTTGGATGGGATGCAGATGAACGGAAGGGAGAGTTTGGTAATTTTGCAGGGGGCATTGAGAGGTACGAGGAAGAAGAAAAAGGAGGGTGGAGAAGGGTTTAGGGAGTTTTTGAAGAGAAAGAAAGAAAGAAAAGAAGGGAAGGTGAGAGCTGAAGGGAGACTGGACATGGTGTGTGTGGGTCTTGTTGTGTTGGCCATTGTTTCTTCTTCTCTTCTCGTTTTCTGGAGATGGCACCACTAACTACATTGTCAACTGGGTAGTTATTGAGGAGTGACACTTCCTCCAATCACACTTTCCCACTTTCTCTTTTTTGAATCTCAATATATGAAAAAAAAAAAAACTCGATTAATTCATATAAAATAAAAGTTTATAGTTTTATTAAACATGACGATGAAATGAAATTGAAAAATATTGTAATTTTTTCTACTATCCATGTATGCACTATATACTCAAAAATATATTATATTAAAAAATGTATAATTGATAAGTAATTTAACTTTTTTTTCTCAATAAAATGTTGCTTTGTGAGTTAATCAATGTTATTAATGATCTTGTTTGTGAGTTCTGAAAATATATCTATATTAAATATTAAAGAAAACTTTGTTATGATAGGAATGCTTCTACACAATTGTCATTTACTAGTGAAAAAAGGTTTTTTATGTCGGTTAAAATGAGCTTTTTACGTCGGTTAAAGAGGCGACATAGATACAGAGTCATAGAAAGTATGACTTTTTATGTCGGTTGTGATGGACCGACATAGAAAGTAATGGACTTTTTACAAAAAATTGTCACTCGGTAGGATTTATTATCTCGTTTAAGAGATTTGTGTCTAACAGATTCGAACCTAGTACCTTAAAGTTGGAGACTGATACTCCAACCACTAAACTACTACAAATTTCTGATACATAACTTACAAATAAATTATATTTATATACAAAATATATAAATACAAATATATTTTGATATATAAATATTTATATACTTATATATTTAATTTTTTTATTTAATATACACTTTCTATGTCGGTTAAATTTCAACCGACATAGAAAGTACTTTTATGTCGGTTAAATTTCAACCGACATAGAAAGTACTTTTTATGTCGGTTAAATTTTAACCGACATAAAAAGTACTTTCTATGTCGGGTAAAACTTAACCGACATAGAAAGTTCACTTTCTATGTCGGGTAAATTATAACCGATATAGAAAGTTCACTTTCTATGTCGGGTAAATTTTAACCGACATAGAAAGTGAACTTTCCACTTACTATGTCGGTTAAAATTTACCTGACATAGAAAGTTTATGATTTAATTACAAAATTGCCACCGCGCTATATACTATGACGGGTGGACTACGACCGTGATAAAAACTCGTCATAGAATGCTATTTTTCCACTAGTGATTTTTTAAATCACATTTATGATTATATATTTGAGAAATGCAGATTCTATGTATCTGGAATAGTATACATATACAAAAGTATGTATGTGAAAATAAAGTATTAAAAAAAATCAATTTGTTCGAAACAATTTTACACTTGGGATAGAAAATTAATAGCCTCATAGATATTTATTGAAGAAACCTTACTTAACATTAAATTAGTAACAAACCTAACCTCACATGATCTACATCGATGTTAAAATAATTTCTATTGATGTAGAATGAAAAAGCTTGAATTACATCGATTAAAAATATATAATTTCATGACATTGTGTTTCTGGTGGAATTTCGATCGATTTCGATTCTAAACAGTATTATGGTCCTAATCGAAATCCTCCCACGTAAGTTCTTTTTACTTAGGCTAGCAGTCTGACTTTCAATCGAAAACGTGTATGAGGATCGAAAATCACAAGATATCAAGAAAACTATTTTTGGTATTTTTGTATTTAAAGTACTGAAAACAGTAAAGTATCGAATCGAGAAACAGAACATTAAATTGCAAGAAAATATAAAGTGCAAAAACCCCAAAATTGCATTAATTGTAAATGACAAGGAATCAAAAATAGTGCAAATATAAATGGCAGGGAATCGAAATGTGCAGGAAATGTAAATGGCAATTAAATCGAGATTTGCAGAATATTAAATAACATGGAAACTTAAATGCATAAACTTAAATTTTCATTGAATTGAAATGAACAAGGAATCGAAAATACAGAAACATAAAACTGCTGAATTTAAGTTGCATCAAAATAAATTACCAAGGAAAATACAGAAAGTGGTAAATGTACTCGGTGAGCAAGGAAATCCAGATTGCGGAAGCTTCATGGTGTTCGTCGTTTCTCCGGTAGACTTTTCACTATTGATTCTGTTTTCTGCCAATTTCTGCTCCCCGTTCCTTCCTCCTTTGCTCTATTTATAGGGCATCCTTCACGCCTTCCAAGAGCAGTTAACACGACTGCTACCACGTTCTACGTGCGTATGGCAGTTTATCTTCTATAGTTTCCCACGTTCTCACGATCTCCGACTTTTTCCCATGATTTCAAAACTGCTCTTTATACGTGCATTCGACTTACTTCCTTTCACGATTTGGCCAAAGTCTCGATATCCACATTGGCTTTCTTTACTCTCGATTCTGTATTTTTCGAGAACTTCGAATTGATTACGATTCCTTTTTCGACAATAGTCATTTGATTATTATTCATTCGATTCTCGATTGTGCTTCTCGATGCTATATGCTACGTATTTCTAATTAGACATCGAATGAATTTTTGTTTATCTTATCGAGTCACATTTCTTTCCTTCGATTTTGATCGTTTTTCTTGATTTTCTACTAACAAAATGCCCCCTTGGAAGAATATAAATGATTTCTGTTTTATATTCTTTCAATATTCCCGCCTTAGTGTTTGAAAGCCCACAGGATTTAGGGTTTAGGGTTTCTGGGGCTCTAGGGTTAAAAGGGGTTTTAGGTTTCTTTTCCACTTTACGTCGCCGTCTCGTCAGTCTGTTGCCTTTCAGTACAAGTTACATTAATTACCTTTCCCTTCCGTCGCTTCCAACTCCCTAGACGATTTCCCTTTAACCTTTCCTTGATCTTTACTCTGGTCTTTACGCGAACTATCACCCTCTTTGCAATCTCATCTTCTCCTTTGAGTTCCTGCCTTCGTCCCTGTTACCTCATTCGTTAACCCTTCTCTTTCTGTTTTCCTATACTCACTAAGATGGCCACCTCGTCGAAATCTTCTGACTTTTCCGTTCCACCCCTTTCCTCATTGCCTTCTAACCTGCTGGAGATTAACAACCAGAAGTTCGCTCCAGTCCCTTTGATGGAGGAGGCTTCCCGCAAAATTGCTGAAACGCAGGTACTTATCCCTTACACTGCTGAGGGGGTTAATTTTGCTTTTGGGGGTCCACTTCGTCCTATAGATGACATTTTCTCCCCTCTCAACCTCTCGATTAGCCCGGCTCTTATACATCATCCTGAAGTTAGGGTTGATTTTTTGAATCTTACCTCTAAGGTATATAGAACAGGCCCTCCTTCCAAAAAACCTTCCTTCATTAGGTGGTTTGATAGGGTAAAAACTAAGTTTGGGAGCCACTGGAAGGATGTTGGAATTTTTGACTTTTTGCACCTGTCTCGATGTGATCTGTCGTTTTTGGACATGGCAATGTTTCTATCTGCGGTGCACTTATGGAACAAAGATTTACATGCTTTGGAGTTGCCTTGTGGCCCACTTTCACCCACCCTTTTTGAGGTCGCGGCTATTACTGGCTTGAAACCTACGGGGGAAAAATACTTCAAGGGTACATGTCCTTCGGATAATTCTCTGAAGTCTAAAATTGATTGGGAATCGAAGGCCTATGGTCATTTCCTCGAGAAGCATTTTATCGATGACCCTTCGATAGCTGTTACCGATGAAGAGCACGTGGCATTTTTAGTGTATTGGTTGTGCACTCATGTTTTTTGCCCTCGATCGATCCAAATTTCCTCTCATCTGTTTAACCTTGCATATCTTTTGCACATAGGCCAACCTAGGATATGTTTGGCTAAACTTCTGCTAGCCCATGTATATGCTGCCTTCGACGAAGCTGTCGAAATCTTGAACACTCCTAAAGCATCGAGGAACTATTCTGGCCCCATTTGGTTTGTACAGTTGTGGCTCACCTCGATTTTTGAGAGCATCCTTCCTCGAATTTCTTCCGTCCCCCCGAGTGTAAATATAGAAGGGGCCCGATTATCCTCTCGTCACCCTCGCCATAAGTCTGATGAAGCTACCTACTGTAAATACCTTCATTTTTTGTTAACCAGATTCACTTTCGACTCAACTTTGGCCCCATTTACTGTAAATCTTGGACGAACAAGTGGCCAACTTAGGGGGTCGATTTTGTTTAAATCAAAGTTTCCTGCTTCGACTCCTGGGTTACAATCGGAGCTGATAGATGTATGGAGTAATTATTTGACCCACGATGTGTTGGTATCGGGTTTTCAGTCGAAAGATTTTAAGCTTGTCACCTATTACCCCCAACTTTTCTCGAGACAATTTGGGTTGAGCCAATCTTTGCCTTTCTTCTCTCTTGATACCTCCCCAAAGTCCAAGTTAACTGAATCCACAATTAGTCGGGAGCTCGTTGAGCTTTTACCAAAAACCTCGATGCACTTTTACCCCTATGCTTTCGAGTCAAATTACTTATCTACTGTGGGTTTTTCTCAATGGTGGGCCGGTTGGTTCTCGGGTAGTCATGCTACTTTTGATGAAGTTCGACAGAAACTGACTGCTCAACCTTCTCTTGTGTTGCAGGACAAATCGAAATCGAAGAAAGGTACACACTTCCACTGTCTTCAAATATCTCGATTCGAGAACTTTTATCAAATATGTTACACCCCCCTGAAATTAGAATCGACCTATTATGATGCTGTTATCTCCTTATCCAATAAAACAGACACTAATCGATCGAACCACAAAATAATCAATCCTTTAGGTAGAACCCCTTTTGAAATGTATTGTCCAAATCGCCTTCCCACTTTTCCCACAGCTCCTTTTGAACTTGCCAAACCATTAACTCATCCTAAATGGGTTCGAGAACTGAGATCCCTCAGGGAAACACGTCGCCCAAAACCCAAAAATAAAGATATTTCTGTCTCGAAATTATCTTATTTCCCTTACCTTAACCTCCCTGAGGCTCTTTTGCCTACCTGGCTTGTACATATCGAGCGAGTCAAGATTTTGACTCCATCACCTTTTGGTGAGATTTTACTGCTTTCTTATACTTTTTTTGATTCTGTATATTATAAGCTAATCTGTCTTC